GCAGGGGAGGATCAGAGAGAGGGGGAAATACAGAATCTGAAGCAGGCTCCCGGATCTTGAGCTAGCCATCAGCACAAAGCCCGATGCAGAGCTATAAACCATAAACTGTGAGATCATGACCTGAACCAAAATCGGACGCTTAACCAACTGAGCCACCCAGGCAACCAAAAGTATACCCAAATTTTTAAAGAACTAAGGTAGACTTTGAGGATCAAATATGTTCAGGTTGTCCCGAGTTGGGGGGGGATCTGATCTTTTATAGAACTCTTTCCTTACTGGTGAGGTAAGGAAGTTCCCTTTTGATGAAGTTCAGCACTCAAAACTATTCCACGGTACTTGAGAAGAAAAGAAGCAACCACACTTATATGAAAACTGGTGCAGATTTTTTTTTTTACATTCAAATTCTTTTAAAACTTTAGTTTGATTCTTTATAAAATTTTCAGCAAAGCAATGGAAAGCTTCTTTGGGAAATGTATATTCTTGCTGCAGCTATACAAATAAACAGACCAAATCTAATGTGATCAGACTATTTAATGATCTAAAAGATCTTTTATCAAGATTAGTTTGCTTTAGAATAATTCTACATTGTCTAGTATCTAGAAGACACCTTTCCAGATCTGCCACTGGATCACTCTATAGTTTAAAAAAACGTACTTCTAATCACTTGGAATCCATGTTTCATCTTTATAATTATGAAGCTATATTGAAAACTATTTATTCTGTAAATATATGAATCATTAAAGTGAGATGCTTTTCAGATTTTGTTAGCAAATGAATAGGAACATCGGAAGCATGAGAAAAAGAATAAATCCAAGCAAAATAATGCTTATTAAATTAATAATTAAATTAAAGTGATAATATGCAATTTATTTTTAAACTGGGCATAAATAAGAAAATTTTCCTCACCATGATATAAGAATGAACTGAACATACACCTTTACAACTTGATGTATATGGGAGATAATACAGAAGAGGGTGTTTCTTTGTAACCAAAATCACCTAAAGGACATTTTTATATAAGGGAAGCCATGGATTAGAGTTCATTTAGACGATCTGGGAGTGCTGTGTGTATTCTCCACATCATTGTTTAAAGATAAGGAAATGTTATTGATTATTATTATTGACTATTAACATTATTGATTCTTATTATTGATTAAAAGGAAAGACATTGAAATGAACAAAATATAGGCACTAAACAAATTCACCTGGGAATCATGGAACTTATATATATTCTTGACTCTCATCTATAGTAAATTTTTAATTTAATAGCTTTTATGCTTTTCATCTCTCTCTTACTTTTGAGCAGTTAAAAATAACACATTTTATTTCATAATTGTTACCTAAAGTTTTGGTGATAAGATTAAAATTAAGTAAAAATTAACATATAAATATCTTTGTCTATCTACCAAGCATCTAAATTCAGGCTTCAGAAAATCCAAAGAATCACTTAAATCTCTGAAACTTGATTTATCATGTGCAAACATCCATAGCCATATGTATGGTTATCTCAACCTCAAGAGTTGATTAAAGGATTAAAGTACATTTATTCTTGGCACAAATCTTGACACATGTTAGGTCCTAACCCTAACTGAAAATATATAGTTCTATCTTCTCTGCCATGTATAGACCTTGTTTGGGTTCAAACCTCAGTACTCCACCTAAGAATCCATCTCTTTTCTCTTTTTCTCCATTGTACATTGCCAGTAATGCTGATGCCCTAACCAAAGTTTTAGTCCAATTTAAAAGATTGAATCCGGTGCAATTCTTTTGCAAACGGTATGTAAATAGATTAGTTTTCATGATTACCCTGGGTAAAATCAAAATAAAAGGTAAATAATCTAATTATTTTTACATAAAAATATAGTTCTTTACTTTAGATCTTGAAACAGATATTTAATAGCTATGGTGACTTTCTTGTTAGATGCAAAACTTCTTTCAGTGCTATCACATGGCAGTCAGTTAGCATGTAAGAACAGAGGAATATAGATAATCAAAATCGCTGCATTAGCAGCCATGTGACATGGCCTCAAAGAACAAATCTGAGTTCTCATTTATTATTTCCGTTCTGTTTTGTTTTTTTCCTCTGGATTATACAGAAATAATACTAACTACCTCATGGAGTTTTTGTCAAGCTGGTCCTGTCTAAAATACAAATGATAGAAATAGTAAGAATGGTAACCTCCTTGGTAATTACATTATTACATTTTCTATTTTGTTGATAATCGAAACGGCTTATACAAATGATATCCTATGATCTCAGTCTAATATGCTCTCTTCATGCCTATCTGAATGACAGCTTATAAAGGAAACTAGCTTTTCCAGTATTTCCTTTGCATGTTGACAGCAACCACACACTAATTGAAAATCAGTTTTTTCACATAGACCCTTAACCCTGCTGCACGTATTTCACAATGGATTTGGAGGTTCACATCTGCACGAATTTGAGTACTTAAAGTAAGAACTGAAATAACTTTTATATCACTTTAATATCTTATTCAAATAATGTATGGACATGGTATCAAGAAACCACAGAGTTGAATGATGGTTCTGTAACCCTCTCCTCTTGAAACCAAAAGCAAATACTTCAAATTATTTTACAATTTTCCCATTATTTCCTCAATATTTTAAACAATATGCTTATCTTCTAATGCTTGATACCTAAGACCCAAGTACCAGACCATGATTTGTAACTTAGGCCACTGTGGAAGAAGTATCACCCCCTCCCCATATCATCAGCTTTTTCGCCCTTACCCCTTCCCTCTACATTCTCTCAACAGAGCTACATCCAATTTTATGTTTAAGGACATGCATTGACGGTGTTGGTCCATCTTCTAGAATTTATTGTTTGCATATAAAATATATAACATTATTAAGAAACATGAGGTTTTTATTTATACTACTGCATATATTTCTTCTCATATTACCATAATTTCTCCTAAGAAGACTTTTGAATATCTATCTAGCTAATAAATATTAAGAGTCATCCAGAAAGTGTTTTCAAGAAACTAGTTAGTGTTTGCAAGAAAATTCCATTACATAAATTAGTCCTCATTTATTTTACTGTGTTCTTTGCATCCTCTTTGCACATTGTACCTCATATATAATAGTTCTTAAAGTTATTTTGTATAACATGCAAAATAATTCATTATTTTGTCAAAAATAAGTCAATGTCATATACATTCATGATAATGTCCATGAGTATATTGTGTCATTTTATTTAAAAAAAATTTTAACATTTATTTATTTTTGAGAGAAAGAGAAACAGAGCATGAGCAGGGGAGGGACAGAAAGAGAGGGAGACATAGAATCCAAAGCAGACTCCAGGCTCTGAGCTGTCAGCACAGAGCCCGATGCAGGGCTCGAACCCACAAATTGTGAGATCATGACCTGAGCCGAAGTTGGCGCTTAACCAACTGAGCCACCCAGGCATCTGTGTTGGGTCATTTTATTCTATTCTTCATCATCTTATCATTCTAATGTCAAATTTTATGTCTCCTTGTTACATTCTTTCTGGTTAATTTTTATCAAGTGATTGAAACTTTGAATACTTTTTTGTATTGATTATTGTCCTTTTTATTTCTAGAAGTCTTTTATTGTATGTGGCACTTTATATATAGAACATGGTATTTTTACTTTTGATTTAAGAACTCATTTTTCTCTGAAGACCTCAGATCTTTTGAAATGTTTTCTTGCATTTATTCTAATCATTTTTAACTCAGGATTCATGCGTGTGCATTTGTGTGTGTGTGTGTGTGTGTGTGTGTGTGTGTGTGTGTGTGCATCTGTATTTCATGTAATGGCTTCCTCAACAAACTAGTGGCTTTGGTGCTGGAAAAGTATTAGAGACTGAAGCACTACTATCCATTCTAGGCATAGTATACTAGACTTACTCACTCATGATCTTCCTCTCGAGAAGATTCCCACCACTCATTTCCATGTAGAATACTCTCGAAATAACCTTTTTTCTTCTCCTTTTAAGTGTATGTTTTTTAAATTTTATTCTCCCAAAAAAATGCTCAACTTTTTAATCGCTGGTACCTTCCTCTGCAATCTTTTCCACTTTCTTTAAATATGCTGACTTTTTCTTATTATTGTTTTAGTTGTGTTTTAGGACAAAGAGGTGACACATATATGGGATAAACTCTCATACTTATCTAGACATAGAACGAGTTTTAAATAAGAAAAACAAGAGGAAAAAAGGAATGGATAGCTAAAATGCCATAAAGCCAATGCATAAAGTTAAATAACTATTGAAAAGCAGGAGAAGAGAATACACATGTTTTCAGAAATCGTGAGCAGAGACATGTAAACTGCAATAAATTTGGTGAATAAGTTCTCACTGAAGGAGTTCCCTTAAACTAGAGTATTTGAATGTTGAGTGGGGAAGAAAAATATGTTTCATATAGACATATTTGGCAAGAATTATTAATTATAGATTTCTGGGGAAAAAGAAGCGGATAATGACGCTTAGGAACTAAAATGTTTGACTTGGCCAGCTTTTTAGGGAAAACTGAAAAAAAGAGTTTTTATTTGTTAGCATGAACTGACAGGCTACTTTATCTTCAGAAATACTAGTGCTTAATTATAAAAGAAGAAATTATTTTTAAGAGTCATAAAATGTATTCATATATGGGTCTGTAAAGTATGCATTTACATTGATTTACAATGCATATATAAACGTATACATTGTGATGTGGTTAATATCTAAATTTATGTAGACAAATAATATATGTCAATAAAATCATTACAGAAAGAAAATATTCTTAGAGATTTTCAGAATTCTATGAAATATTTTGTAGACATATGCATGTCCTATGAAGATTTTATCTATGAAGCAAACACTGGCAGGATTGTTTAATCAAATTATGTGTTAAGATTTTTAAGAGTTAAGACATATCATTGATAAACCACAATTTGGAAGAAAAATAATGAATTAATAAGAGCTGAATTTTCTGTACTCAATATGTGTTTCTCTTTAGGGAAAGCTACATTAATGTCCTATGGAAAATAATAACGAAACATCTACTGATTTCTTCTTAGTGGGATTGTTCCCACGATCAGGAATTGGCCTGTTGTTCTTCATATTCATTGTTCTCATTTTCCTAATGGCTCTTTTCGGCAACCTGTTCATGATCATCCTCATCTTCCTGGACACCCATTTCCACACACCCATGTACTTTCTACTTAGCCAGCTCTCCCTCATGGACTTGAGCTACATCTCCACCATTTTCCCCAAGATGGCTTCCGATTATCTCTTTGGAAACAAGTTTATTTCTTTCATTGGGTGTGGCATTCAGAGTTTCTTCTTCATTACTGTAGCTGGTGCAGAAGGCTTACTGTTGGCCTCTATGGCTTATGATCGATATGTGGCTATTTGCTTTCCTCTTCACTATGCCATTCATATGAGAAAAAGCGTAGGTGTGCTGATGATAACAGGATCTTGGATAATGAGCTCTATCAACTCCTGTGCCCACACTGTGTATGTCCTTCATATCCCTTATTGTCGATCTAGGTCCATCAACCATTTCTTCTGTGATGTCCTAGCTATGTTGACTCTGGCCTGCATGGACACCTGGGTCTATGAGTACACAGTATTTATGAGCACCACTCTCTTCCTTGTGTTTCCTTTCATTGGCATTGCATATTCCTATGGCCGGATTCTTCATGCCATCTGCCGCATGCACTCAACAGAAGGGAGGAAGAAGGCCTATTTGACCTGTAGCACACACCTCACAGTGGTGGCTTTATACTATGTACCCTTTGCTTACACTTATCTACGCTCAAAATTGCTGAGATCTCCAACAGAGGACAAGATTCTGGCTGTCTTCTACACTCTTCTGACCCCAATGCTTAACCCCATCATTTATAGCCTGAGAAACAAGGAGGTGATAGGAGGCTTGAGAAGAGTGATTCAGAGGATCTGCTCGGTTTAAGTGTAGACAAAATTTTTATTTACATTGCTGCTTCAGAAATACATCACTTTCAACTTTTACGCACTTTAGGAAAACTGTCATTCCAATATTAAAGGCAAAGATTAAATTAATCTAAAAATTAAGGTAATTGAGATTTGAAAAAAATAATTTTGTATTCCAAATCACTCTACAATATTTTTGTATTTTTTTGGTAATTTTTCATTAAATGTAAATGGCATATGTTTTCCCTTAATTTGTGGCTAAAAAGATTTTATTAATACTTTGAAATGACATTGGAAACAAACTTGATGGAATTCTCCATTATAATATTTCCAATATATTTTGTATATCTCCCAAAATAGATAAAATAGGACAAAAGAACAAGAAATGTTAAAACATTGCCAGGTTTTTTTGAAATCATACACACAACATCAATGAATACTTAGGATACTTAGGTGGTTTCCCTATCTTAGCTTCTTAGCTCTTGTGTATTATGCTTCAATTGACATAACGAATATCTTATATTTCCAATTAGTGTTTATGTATTATTTGGATAAATATCCGGCAGTGGAATTGCTGGATTATATGGTAGTTCCATTTTTAATTTCATGAGGAACTTTCATACTTTTCTCCATAATGGCTGCACCTGTTTTCATTCCCACCAGCAGTGTAGACATTCCCATTTTCCCACATCCTCACCAACACTTTTTGTATCTTTGTCCATCTAAATATTCTTCAGAAAATGACCTCTATTCATAAATGTGCCTATTTTGTACTCATTTTTTCTACTATTGAAATATATGTGTTCTTTATATATATTTGCATACCACCCTCTTTTTACACACCCTCTATTCATAACTTTCAAGTATATTTTTCTCTACTCATTAGGTTTTCTTTTAATTTTGTTAATGATTCTTTCTGCTGTGTAGTTTTTTAGTTTGAAATAGTCCCACTTGATTAATTTTACTTTTGTTCTTTTTGCCATTAGTTTAAGGTTAAAAAAATAAAAATTACTTCTGATTTCTCAAAAATATTTAAAGAAGAAAAGAGTGATACGAAATATTTATTGTGTTGAGATAGTTAAAAATAATCCTCGCATTCTGTATTCTACACATTTCTTTCTTCAAAAGTGAAGGAGACTATGGGTCTGAAAGATGGCATAGGGGTCAGAGGACTCTAGGCTCATCTCCTCCCATTAAACAAAAGTAGATAACTATCAAATCATTCTAAATACCTTGGAAATCATTCTGGAGGCTGACAGAATAAACTCTACAACTAAAAAAAAAAAAAAAAAGAGGAGCCACATCGAAAAAGATAGGAAGTGTGAAGATGTGGTTTGTGGGGCCAAGGGATCACAGGTTCTGCAGAAGAGAGAGAGCCCTGATTGCAGAGAAAGGTGAGAGACAGGAGCACACAGGGAAGATTATTTCCCACAAGCCACTGGGTGGGAAAAGAAGAAAGGTTGATTTTTGTGAGTTCTTGAACTCTGTGGGACTTACTAAAGACTGGAGTTCTTTTTGTTTTGTTTTGTTTTGTTTGTTATTAAGTTTTTATTGGTTTATTTTTATTTTCTTTTTTAAAACTTATTGTCAAGTGAGCAAACATACAGTGTAGTCATGCCTTCAGGGGTAAAATCCTATAATTCATCACTTACATAGAACTTGCAGTGCTCATCCCAAAAAGTGCCCTCACCAATGTTCATCACCCACCTCCCTCACCCCTCAATCCTTTTGAGCCCCCCACCCTCATCAACCCATAACTCTCTTTATTCAAGAGTCTCTTAGGGTTTTCTTGCCTCTTATTTTAACCTTAATTTTCCTTCTCTTCCCCTATGGTGCTCTTCTGAGTTTCATAAATTCCATATATAAGTGAAATCATATGATATTTATCTTTCTCTGACTGACTTATTACACTTAGCATGATACTCTCCAGTTCCAACCACATTGTTGCAAAAGTAAGATTTCATTCTTTTTCATCACCAAGTAGTATTCCATATCTATACTTATATCTATATCTATATCTATATCTATATCTATATCATCTATATCTATATCTAT